GAACTGCTGTTTCCCACTGTTTCTTGTCAGGAATTTAAATGCTCTACATGCCTGCAGGACTACTAAGTGAGTCAAGGACCAATGTCTCTATATCAAATTGGAAATTCCATATTTTATCTAAAAAATACATGGTTTTTATAAAAGCACAGAAAAGCTTATATGTCATAGCAACTTTCTTATATTTACATGGCTAGAAATATGTATATGCTGATATATTGTTTAAAAGAATCACTACTCAAACGTCAGCCTACATTTTGTCCACTGGGGCCAGATGTTCGATGGGCTGCTGCATCGAGCTGCTCCAGTCCCTGCTGGCACAATAAAAAGTAACTACCTCGTCCACAATCCATCAGAGAGAAAGAACTGATCCCTAGCTGATCTGATGTGGCGAATGTCACTAATGATTTACGAGCTGAAGAGAAGAAGTTGAAACTTTTGAAACCTTGCTTGCAGCAGAAAGTAAGGGGTTACAAACCACTGAGAGAACAAGACATCAGATTTGACTGATTTGGGGAAAACAAAGAGATCTAGTTTGTCACTTAAAGCTACATCTGTACATAGGTACTTTAACGTGTGTATAAGAGTCACAATGCCAAAACCGTGAGAACTACTGTAGCTAAAGGATATGGACCTTAATCTTAGAACGAACAGTTTAGCTAAATCACAGGAAAGGGAAATTGTTCTTAAATGCCTGTACGGGCATTAGCATTTGAGTAGGAGGCTAAATCAATGTTAGGAAATGTTCACCACTTAAGGAGTAACACTGGCACTCTCTCAACTGACAATAGACCTTATACAGGTTACCCTTAGTAATGAAACTCATTAAAAAGTTACATAAAAAAGCCAGTTCAGATTGATTGGTCAAAGCAATCCCAATGTGCCTTTGACTTCTGAAGACTTATGTGTGTTTGAAGGAATACTATTCATTTGTTCTCTTTATGAGGAAAGAAAATCATGACTCAGTTGCTCTGTTTGAAATCCCAGAAAAGCACCTTCTCTCTTTTTCCACTACAACAACACAGTTCAGAAAGCATGCCAGCGGACCAACTGCAGATTACACCATGAACACAGACAGAGAAAAGGCAGGAAAGAAAACTAAGGGGAGGCAACACAAGACCTGATAATAAAATTTCCACACATCAGAAAAGAGAAAAGCCTGTGGACTGAGGGAGAGAGAAGAGAAGGGGAGAATTCATCTAGTCCCCATGCTTGCTAGCAAGAGTAGCACAGGACACAATATTTCAAGAAAACAATTAAACTTATCTGGGATTGGCCAAAGAAAAGGATGAGGTAATTTAGAGAAGAACGGAGATATTTTAACAAGAAGGTAGCTATCCAAACACTTGTCCCTCAATGCTGTGCTTTAAGGAGTATAAGAAATAGCTATGAATGGCACTGCCTTTGAATGGAACTGGAACTCCAGCTCCTTTTCTTTTCAGAAGCATAAACAAGGATGTGGTCGGTTCCCTTTTCATAAACTACCACCTTTTTTCAAAGTAAGTGCTTGAAAAGCCTTCACCGCGCTTCTCCTGAAGTGTCACATTCCTGACGATGCACAGACATTTCTTGAACACCACTGGAACAAACGCACACTGATCCACAAAGCAGCAGATACACAAGCACCAGCTTGCTTCAGGCTAGCTGGGACAATGAATCCAGCTTTTTATGCCTTGCAGAAGTGTAAATATTTTCACTAATTCAAAGTGCAAAAGGGCACAATATTAAAATAATCACACCAGTTCTCGTGGAAATAAAATCTATTAAGTAAACAGCTTATTTTATCTCCTTTATTAATTTATCGCTCAGGTCTATTTAACGTCAGTCCAGACTGCATTTCCCACTGCCTTGTACTGTACTTACAATGAAAAACAGCTGAAGACATTTTAAACTCTTGTGAGACAGACGTTTTTTACTACCCATTATACATCTCTTAAAACATTTTCCTGGCCTCTGGGGATATGTATGATTAAGATGAAGAAAACAGACAGTACATGCTTCAGCTGACAAATGACTTTCCTTGTTCTTGCCAGACCTGAAGAAATACTGCTGAATTTAGTGAAAGCAATTAATCTAAAGAAGACATTGGAAGCACAGAAAGAAGGACGGATAACAATTGAATTTTAAAACGTACTACAGTACATAACCAGCATTCCGGAATCATGTCTGATACATTACAGTATTAAATAAGGCATAGGCAGTTTATTTTTTTAATTTGGAATCACACCTTGGTTTGAATTATACTCCTCCGATTTTAAGTCAGTAATTGTAAATTAATTCGACATACTACTGCTGCTCTTGCTCCACCACAGTGTGGTAAGGTTCAAGTGTGCATCCCTCCTAGATTTCTGCTGTTATATAATGCCTTCAGTGTCTGCTGCGGTCTCTATAGCACCAATCGGAGAAGAGATATGGCTCTCATTGACAACACAGCAGTCTCACAGGGGTCACTTTTCAACAGGAGGTTAAGGACAGACACCTCAGCCAATTCAAACTCAACCAAAACCAGTAGCACTCAGTAGCACTCAGTTGTGAGTTGTGCCAGTTGTGCATGCGGAATCACAGTCCTGAACAGGCGATATCTGCATACTGTAGTTGGCTTCAATCTGCATTCCTAATGAATACACAGGCCACCACAGAGATGCTTCAATTTAGTTATGTTTTAATTTAGCCATTGCTTTCACTCTGTTTTTAATTGTCCAAATGTCACTGAGGATGAAAAGACCAAATGAGATCATAGACCAAATGAAAACGTACTTTTTAGTTTCATGCCTTAGATTGCTTAGAAGGCAAGTGTTTAATTGATAAGACCGGCTCCTAGCCAGAGCTGTCATTAGCTGCTGCTGAGTCAACCGACCAAACATCAACTATCTTAAAAAAACACCTTTCCATAAGGTGCTTTTGCCAATGGATAGATCAATCATTCATTAATTTACTTACTTAAAGATCTGCCACAGCACACCAAAACACAAACAGGATACTAATTTTAAAATCTAAGTTCAGATAAAGAAAATAGTCATGTTATATGGCTTTAAAAAAATGGTATACAAAAAAAGCTTACAAGTAAAATAATAATAAAACAATTATCTATCCAGTCAGTAACTGCTAAGTCCAATAAAAGTATGACTGCAGTGACTCAGACCCATTCTTATTCTTATTTTTATTCCTCTGCTTCCAAAATAAAGACAGGTTGAAGGCTTGTTAGAAAGGTTGGAAAAATTATATATGGGAGGCAGAAGAGGTTTAGGAGATTCCCGCAGGTACGGACAAAGATCAGGTTAACTAGCATTCCAACCCTTCTCTGGGGTCAAGCAGCCAGTCACCACCTCCTCAGCTGCAACCTAGATTCCTCGCCCATTGACAAAGAGCACTCCTACCTCGGCACAAACAGAAATAAAAGCCCAGTACGGCTGAATTAACTCAGGAATCTCTTCAGAACGCCCTGTTCCCACAGGGTCCAGGTTCCATCCTGCTGTGTGTTCCATGATAGCCCGATATTGTTTTTTAACAAGATGGTTTATTGACCCTAGGAAATCAGCGAGAAGCTAGTCACAGCTCTCTGGTTACATTTGAGGGAGGGGGAGAGGGAAGTGGGGATTGCAGAGATTTGGAAACGAAGGAAAACTAAACCGACAAAGTACCTAACCAAAAAGAAAACACTCCTAGTGCCTTTGTCAAAAAAAATATCCAGAGCTTTTTAGCTCCGTAAGAAGGCCTTTTGCTTAAAGGAAAAACTATATTCAGCATTACCACATTAACAAAAACACTACACCTGAGTAATTCTGCTGTATGACCTATTTCTTTTAAACCTCAGGTCACACAAACATTAGCAAGAGCCAAATACAACACATTACACGTCTCTGAAATTCAAGTCTAACAAAGTGCTATTTAACATTGTGTCAGTAAAATTATTTTGTCAGTAACAAATGTGCTGTGCCAGGACATTTTCTGGGAAGTACAGCATATCATTTTTGTCCTACAACAACAGAAAGCATTGTTTCACGCATAGTCTCTTCCTAAAAGACAGGCCTTCCTTTGTTCATTAAGGAAACGCATAAAATATTGATGCTGTGATTTAGAAGCAGACACTTTTCCTGTAAAATGGGTCCATCAGCAACATGCTGCTGTGGTCACATTTAAAATATGTTCACTAGAGCTTTCAGGAGTCCTGGGAAGTCAGAGCAGAGTTTAAGCTTTTATCCAAATATAGGTCTATGGGATTAACACCCATGTGCAACATATGCACCTTATTTGGCTTATATCATGGGATGAAGTGGGATAAAATCCTCAAATAAGTGGCTTAATGCCTCTTTATAATAAAAGTCCTCCAAATCCACTTTTATGTTGAAACACAAGAACACAAATATCTGTGCCCTTTCTCTTTTGTTTTCTTTGAAGATAGAAAAGGAACCTCTTTCATTTATCAAAAGTGTGTACAGACCACAGCATATAGTGAAAAACTACAAAACAGCGTACAGGACCCCCCAGTCATCAGATCTTTAACATTAGACCTCAGTGAACTAAAGGCTAACTCGCTGTTTTACTCGCCGTCTCAGATTAACTCGCTTACAACTCGCTGTCTCAGGAAGACTGGAAGTATCGCTAATCCTGGTTTCTCATTTTTCTCCCCCCTTCCCTCTGGTAAGCGTTATAGGAGCATAAAGGCACAAACTTCCAGATTCAGAGACAGTTTCTTCCTACAAACTGTCAGATTACTGAACTCTACCCCTACCACTGGCCCACGCTGATGATTTTTTAAAGTTGTGTGTTACTTAAGTTCTTATTGTTGCTGCCCCTGTTCTGTGTTGATGTTTTTGGTGATTCCTTTAATGTCTTTATATTGGAGCATGCATGCAAATAAGCATTTTATTGCACTTGTGCATCTGACAAATCAACTGAACTGAAGTGTGATCACAAACGTTTATATTGCACCACTGGGTTTTGACTGCTTGAGCAGGTTGTGAGCCCCTTGGACTCCAGGGGCGAATAGGGAATGCACTGACCTGTCCCAGATCCAAAGTAACGTTGACTTCATTGTAGTCCAGGCTGCGGGACAGAGGTGGGCTCTGCCACCAGCGCTCTGTCCCATCGATGGCATTGGTGCTGGGGTGCGCTCGGTCACTGTCTCCTTTCATGCACGTGTCACAGTACTGACCCTGAAAGACACAGCAAGCACGTGAGACTTTCAAGAACAACCAGGAGGTTTTCATCAGAGGCGAAACGGTGTCTCACAACACTGATTCTAAGAAGAGGATTTTAAAATCTTGGAAGAAACTAGGGCAGCGGTTAAATGATTCTCTCAGTTGAACTCAAAGAGCCTCAGTGATCCAAAGTTCAACTAGAACAGAAGACAGAAGAATTCCAAGACCAGGTCTGAAAACAACTGAAATAGGGGAGCCATGCAACTTAGAAATTCTGAAAGATGTTTAATTAAGTTATAGACTAGATATGCAGACTACAGTATATCTGCATCACTGTAAAAAAGGGGATTATATAAAGTCAAGAAATGAGCAACAAAACTCATCCCAGGCCTTAAGGGGAAGACTTATGAGGACAGACTCAAGGATTGTATTCGTTCTGGTCTCGAGAAAAGATGGCAGAGTGGAGACTTGATAGTGTTTAAAATTGTAAAACAATCAATAAGGTTGATCCAAATAATTGAACAGTCTGGAGCTACGTTTGGGGAGCAAAACTAGAGGGAATAACTGGAAGCTTCACAAAAACTAATCAGTACCAGAAAACACTTTATTATGCACACCAATATCAATGCATGGAGTCTATTAGTGAGTTATTCTGTGGAGGAAGAGGTGCAGGAAAATTATAAGCCTAGGCTTTACATTGTGATAGAATCGCTTAGTGTATATGAAAATGACAAGCATTCCATTGCTAATGTTATCATCATCAACTTTTCTGATGAACCACAGTTAATCCGTTTATTTTCCTGATTAAAGCTAACTGGACAATATTAACGTATTATAAACACTCCTGTTATGGACCACACTTAAATTTCTTAAAATAGAACAACTGCTCATGAATTCACAGACAGGCATGGACCCTGTTGATATTGTGAAAATGAAAAAAGGAGGGAGAAATAATAAACAGCAAAACTTCAGTTTGTAGTCAGACACTGTAGGTCTCCAGTTACATTACAGGTACTGCCCTCTAATAAAGCAGTGAAGTTAGTGTCATTTTCAGAACACTGCACCGAACACGTACAGAAAGTTAAACAAGTAGGTGGGTGAACACTGCCAGTGCCTATGTCTTCACAGAGGTCTTTATCAGTCCCGCTATCAAAGCCCAATTTAACAAATTATTGAAAAGGCTGAAAGGGAAACCTAATCGCTTTGAAGTTCCAGAGTTCACAAGGTGACATGCACTTCTGAGTTCATTATTGCCATTGCAAAATCCCCACATTGAATGTTTCCTGTTCTTGACTTATAAGACCAAGGAGTGCCACAAACACAGTACACTGACCTTCCTGCTCTTGTCTCTCGGTTCTTTAGCAAAAAGGAACCTGTTTTAACAAACCAAAGACTGGGTAAAAGGGCAAAGGACTGTTTTCTAAAGACTTTACAAGACTGTTTTTAAAAGGCAAGCATTAAAAATGCTTGAGAAACAGAACAAAGGTCTAGAGTTCTTTTATACTGTATAACTAGAGAGTCTCAATGTCTGTTCTGTGCAAACAGAATAGAGTAAAAGTAGATTAACACAGAAAATGGTCTAGCTCTTCTTTCAATGTGAGAAAAACAGTAGCAAACACATATGCATGATTAAGAACATATTACAATTTGTATGTGTTCTTAATATTTTAAATACAATTTTGCTTGCATGGTTAAATAACTTTTGCTAATATATTCCGAAGACTATTCCTCTGACAAAACAGACAAAAAAGCTAGTTCCAGCAAAAGAGTATCCTAAAATAAAAACTGTGTGCTTCCACATCATGCTTAAAAAAGTGAATTATCTTTAAAAATAGATTCATGTGAAAATAGTATGACAGAAGACGCTCTTCTCTCTGATACTTTATTGCAAATGGAAAACTACGCCTTGATGTTGGCTTGGTTTATAGACTTGACTTACTAAAACATTGGTGAGAAGAGATGGGAAAATTGAAAGCACCTCCAAACTCCTACTGTTTTTAATTAGTAAAAAACATGTATTCCTGAGCCAGAAAATGGGATTAACTACACCGGATACAGAAGGCAGTTAGCAGTAATATATTAAAGTATTCTACCAAAGAATTTTAGCCAAGTGTTGAACAGGACCTAACAATTTCTCACACCAGCATTCCAAACATTTTAATAAAATGTATAATAACTCATGCAAGAGAATAAAAATAAAAGCACTCTTGTAAAATCCAACCGGATCTAAAATAAAATCTAAATCTTGCACTTAACTAGCAATAGCCTCAGTTAAAATTCTTTCTTAGATTTTTAACTATGAGCAAAGCTGCAAGGATACTGGCTATCCAAATATGTTTTTTAAAGAAAGCTAAACAGCCATGTAACCCAGTGCAATACATTTTTGGGGTTAAGACTAGTTCTTGCAATTCCATGTGAAGGGGGAGGACTGGTGCCCAGCCTGCTGATTTAAATGTAGCTGCTGGTCTCTGTAACATCTGCTATGATGCAACGTTGCAGACGTTTCTTCCTGATGACATGCTCAACTTATCTCAAAGACTCTTGACTTTTCAGACTCAAATCCATTTCCCTGTCTCTCTCTCTGGGTATGCTTGTTTTAGTCATCCTATCATTCCCATGTTTTATATCAAGACAGATGTTTTTAAAGACATCGAAGTTATACATGTAGAATATATCTGACGCTGATTAAAACAGAGGTCTTTTAGAACTGGTTTTCCAAGTCTTTCATACCTACGACATATACCTGTAACAGTGGGATATTCCCGGGACTGTTCCTTGACAAATACTGTCCTGAGGATTAATCTTAGTTTCTGGCAATGGACCTTGGGGGACTTTGCCTTAGGCGGTCTAAAATATGAGCTCCTTGTATACCATTGGCATTCTCTTTGATTTGATCCATCCATCATCCCAAACTCACAGGGAACAATTCAGACAGCCACACCCCAGCTTTCCAAAGCTTTATCTGGAAATATTTGAAATTCCTCAAGGAAATGCCCTGAAGAAATGAATTGCTTCCTTAGATTTGTGCTGTTAAAATATTTGGTACCTAAAAGATCCACTACCTAGTTTTGTGGGGACAGCTCACCAAAAAAATATACAATTACTTTTTAAAAAGAAACGTTCTTGGAGAACTTCCTATTTCAGATCAGAAATAAAGCACTTATATCATTTAAACCCTGTTTAATACAGATGTCTTGATATTCGTGATTAGAAAGAAATTGAGCCTAAAGCTCAAATGTTAAAGTACTGTGCAACCAAACTGACTTGTCCTTTTATCGACATTAAAAAACCACTGCAGAACAACAAATTGCATATGCAAACAATTCCAACCTAATCCAGTTCAATTATTTGCAATGAAACTATAGAGTGCAAAACATAATTACTAACCCAATAGACTCCTTAAGGATTCCCCTGCAGTAATTGACACATTTACTTGGCATGTTGAATGAGCAATTATGTAATTTTTACTACGTAACCTGACTGCAATAATGCAAATTAATTATGTCTCTATATAAAATCTGACTTTTGGAGCCATCTCAGACAGCAGAATGCCTACCAAGCAGCTTATAAGCTAGTGCGTAATATTTGTAAATGAAACAAATATTTATTTAAAACCGAAGCTCATGATACAAAATTATTTCGTCTTTCTGTAGTTCAGTCGCGGTAAGCAACATTTGCTCCAAATTCAAAGTTTAGCTCCAATAAACCGTGTTGTATTTACAACAAAGTACTCAAAGAATTCTATTGAAGTTACACTTAAGCAAGTGCAGGGCAGGTGTTTCAGCTCTTGTTCTGTTTTGTATCCCAGCTTCTGTAACGAGTTGTTAAATCGCTTTTTACCTCGACAAAAAGCAAACTAATGGTAACTGAAACTCAGATGTGGTCTCTACTGAGAATTGGCATGGTTTTAAGAAATCCCAGGCGTTGATAGTTACAGTTATTCCTACTCTCCTATGCCCTGCTCAACAGGGGCAATGCGGAAAAACGTTTACAAGCACGCGGTATTTTCGGGTGTCAGACCAATCGTTTAACCTCTCGAATAAACGTGGTCAACATCTTAATCGGTGATTATTTTTATAGCAAATCGGTGGCTTTCGGTCGTCCTTACCTGCTGTAAGAACAACTTTAATGTTTACAGGGACTATCTCAAATTAACGTTTTTAATTGTGCAAGAAATGTCTTGGCATTAAGAGCCCACTCATTCATTTATTTTTTTTTTTAATCTGCACAAGCGCTTATTGCAATGATAATCGACTTTACTTGGGTGAGTTAAACCCTACAGAACGGAAAAGCGGGTATTTTATGTCTCCCGGAAAAAAAATGGACAGCAGCTCAGATATCGAAGCATGAACGTTTTTAGAGCTCATTGTTTTAATATTATATGGGTATACTCTTCACATTTCCAGTCGTAGTCAACAGCAGTCACTCTCTACAACAGCGTACCTGGATGGTCTGGCCGGGATCCCCCGACACCGGCCCCCCTACGAGTTTGCAGTACAGATCCCGAATTGCTCTCCCGTTTTCGTCTTCTCCACAAGTTGCGGTGGCCGTGATTTTGGTGCCTTCAGCTAGATTGAAATACGGGGGATGCAAACTAAACCCGTTCACTCCGTTTGTCGGAAGCTCCTGGCCATAAGCCCCGGATAAAAAGCGGATAGTCGCGAAACAGCAGATGGAAAGGGATATCGCGTTTATTCCCACCGGTCCTCTCGCCATCTTCACCTGGGAAAGCAAGACTAACAAGTTCGGGATGGATACAGTAATGAGGCGATCCGGGCCGTTGATTAGTTCATTGTCCGGTAACTGCACAAGTCCCGCAGCTGTAGGGCAGTACTTTGAAACTCCGCTGCCAAGTGAACTGTAGTGGACTGCGGTCCCAGAGCTCCGCTCATCAGGGAGATCTAATCAACTGATGATGCATCAATTTGAGCTATCCGACTCAGTCACCCCACCCCCTCAGCTGTGGAAACACCACAATAGATGGCAGGTTTTTTTTTGTTCAGCAGACGCACACGGCTTCGGGATTGCGCGACTGTAATTGCATCCTATTTGTTCTTGGTCTGAAAACTGACTCGGGAAGGAAAAACAGCCACAGGAGTTGTCCGCGGGAATACTCCATGAATATTAAGACGTTTGCACGGAACAAGTGGAAGTATTATCCCGTGCCATAATTCCCGTGGATTAACATAAGAGTGGAACTCGGGTCACGCCGATTTGATGAAAACGCTGCCAAAGTGAGGGAGGCGTCCAGTGGGTGGACGGCCTTTTCCTTCCCTTTTCTGCCCTAAAAATATCTTATTTGTGCGGCTCTGCCCAAACCATTACGATGATAACCAAAGCTGAGATTATGAGGATGGGAAATGCCCAAGGTTAACAGGATATACATTTTCCAGAAATTTAAGGGAAAAAAAGTGGTAGAACTTGAAGTATTAATGCAGTGTATGTAGCTGAGCTGCGCTTTACAATTTCAGATGTATTATTCGCTGTATTTTTAGACTCCCATGCATAACAAGTGGTACCCACAAAGATCTATATGCCCTGCATACCAATGAAGGCAAATGCTGCATATGTTCAAGTGGCCCATACTGAGAGGGGCAAACATCATGCAGCTACATCAAACAGCCGCTTAATCCTTTTCGAAATGAACTCCTAAACGTAATCCGTATATGGCAGAGTTAACTGCTTGTTGTATTTTACCACAGGGCGTGTGTGCAACCCACTCATCGGGAGAGGCTAGCTAGCTGTGTTGGGCCGAACTAGTCCATAATACTGTATAAACTCTCCGGAGCTGAGAGGCCGTGTGGAACATCGAGACACCAAGTGGTCATCGGAGAGCTCTTGTTAAAAGTCTGAAATAAGCTGTTTCTCCACTCATTTTTGTTTCATTCTTTTAAGGTTTATCTTTTTTGGAAAAGAAAAGGCATTATTGAACAGAACGTCTCCGGTGGAACATGTTGAGTAATTGTGAGCATTCGGAATTAGCAATCAATTCTGCGTTCACTTTATGTACTAAACAAGGTGCCCGGTTTAATATACGGGATAGGTCTTTTCGGAATGTATTTGAACTACACGTACGAACGTACAGTTCTGTTGCTCAGAGATAAACAAACAAAAACAAGAATGGAGTTTTTCCAAGAATGTTGGGAGATCAAATTTAAAAGCAAAAACGGAGAACATCTCAGAGATTGAGCAAGAGCTCCGTGTTAAGTCTTCATCTGTTCCCGCCAGGATAAGTGTGCCGTGGGATAGAAAATGTTGAGAAACACTGACACACAGGAAAAACTGGGAAGAAGTGCATTTAAGAGCGAGAACAGTATGCAATTGACAAGCCTCAGAAAAGCAAAGCTAGCTGGGTGTGATTTTAGAAAAACATAACATGCATTGTTGAAATTGTTGTAAAAGGTGAAAGGACCAAACCTTCTAGTATTTTAGTCAACCGTCAAAGAGAGAAGCAGATGCTTTTGAAAATTTGTTTTACAAGGAAGTCTCCTTATGTTGATCTTCGAGATGAAATAAAGCACCCTGACTTGCAGACATTAAACAGGAGCCATGAACATGTCACGCACGGGGGCTATTTATTAATGCTGAAGAACAGAAATAAAATTTCTGCTAATGTACAATCCAAGTTAGATGACATCTAAATAACCACAATTAAAAAAAAAACACTTACTATACTTCACATAGAACTACAGGAAAAAGCAAATCACAGTTAGGGCAAAGGAATAAACAGGAATGCTTCTGTGAACACCTGGGCCACCACAGCCCTGTATCTAATCTACAGTACCTGTCCAGTTAGGAGCAGCTCTGAGCAGTCAAAGGTGTTCTTGACCTTTTCACCAGTCATTGATTCAGTCAGTCACTTTACCTTAATTAGTCAGCAATGAAGTACTCTTCTTTCAAAAATATATTGACACTGGTTGTAAGGTCTATTTATCATTCAGGGTTGCCTGTTTATTGTGTAGTGTAGTGCCACTCTGTATGCAGCACAGACTGACAGTATCATTTTGTGGAAAAAGGAAATTTTAATCTAATGGTTGTGACTGCTGACAGCCCAGGAGCTCACCATTGTGCACCACTCTACAGCAGGGGTCTCAAACTCAATACCTGGATGGCTCTGTGGCCTCTGGTTTGTGATTCACCTGAGCTCTCAGCTACATAGTCACTCTGATTCTGTAATTAACTGCACAACACCAATACGTCTAGCCAGCTTCTGAGGTAATAATAGGTAACTGCACCTTTAACAAAATGTTTGGTGTACTTAATACTAAAACTTCCATAAGAAAAATCCTCTCTATTTTGAGCAAATAGGTTAACTACTCTGCAAAAAAAAGTCACTAGACTTTTTTTTTTAAACCCATTTCCTAATCTCCTACAATGTGTTTATATAAGCAAATTTAAGGAGCTTAATTATCAGCAAAGGAGTGGTTGAATCAACAAGGATCTAGATTGACAGCTGAAGGAACTGAGAAGAAACCTCTCAGTATTTTTCGTCTTTCTTAATGTTGCACATTTCTCATTTACACATTATGAAGCTTCAATAGTTTACAAAACAGACCACCTGCATTTTAATTACATGGCTGTTTTCCACAGGAGGATGATGTAGTGCAGGTGTTTTTTTTTTCAATGCCTCTGACTGCTGGGCTGTCATCCAAAAGCTAAACACCAGGCTTTTCTCAAGCACTCCTTATTCCTGTCATCTGAAGAGGTGTCTCTCTGCTTCCAGTATGTTTTATGCCTGATTTGATTCACATGCACGTTTCAATAAATAAAAGACTTCAGATTACACTGGGAACATTTCTGCACTTTTTAAAGAGGTGTTTGGCGAAGCACTGGATTTGCCTCCGGTGTTTCTAGTAAAAGGTTATAATTATGCTAAAAGTAGACAAATGTGGGAGAAAATACAGTTCAAAGAGATTGTCAAGGTAATAGTTTTGAATGTGAGATAATGGGTTGATGCATTTATTCAATGTTTAGAGACACACTTGGTGAATTAACAAATGGTTTATAATAAAAAGAAAACTGACCAATACAAAGTAATATAACATACAGATTTATAGCTGCCCTGTTATTTTTAAGTCATGTTGATGCCGAACAAATATGCCTCCGCCCAGTGATAAATATCTTTAAAATGGTTTCGCACTGTCTCTAAAGTTAGAGCAGCATCATATTTAATCTAAATTGTTACAAGTGTTTTTTTTATCTTTTAGCTATACGATAGCAAATAAATCTGTACATTTATATAGCATTCTTCTTCCCAAAGGATCCCAAAGCACTTAACACAGTGGGACCCACTTCCTTCACCCACCACCTGAAGTACAATGCCAATACCTGCCTAGGTGAGATGCAGTGGCCATACTGCACCAAGAGCCCCACTACACAGCCAACTGGATATTGAAGTGAGCAACTCACTTTGCCAGTTTTAATCAAGAGGCAACATTACACAGGCCAGAATGTTTACCATCAATTTTCATGTCTTTGTGTGGATAGCAAAAAGAAGGGTGAACACATATAGGCTTTTAATAGGCTTTCTCAAAAGATGCCGGAGACATAGCCTGCACTCCAGTGAGAGCGCTCAGAGTCTCCAGGGAAAGACTTTCATGTATTGACCTTAAGCTCTGAGGCCTTTGACAGCAAACTGGTGGGGTCACTAGTGTATTTAATTTAGGATGACTTGAGCCAGTCGTTAATGCCACATGGTGCTCATTAACAGATAAATACCAAGTTCCAAGGTTAAACAGTCACAAGTCAATAGCAGCCATTCAGGAGAAGACTTTATATACAGAGGAAGTGCCCTAGTCAATCAGTCTGTAAAATAGGTGTGAAATCAATAGAACAAAGCTAAAGCGTAAGAACCAAACCTCATTAATGTACTTCATGAATTTAAATCCAGTGCAATGATCATTAAATATTACAGTTTATTCAGTATTTACCTACCTGCTTCCACTACTGCCTCATCCAGACATTGTCAGCATGTATGTTCTAGTATGTTATGATTCTAATAGGACTTATAATTCTGTTTGATATGGAATGGACAAAGCTGTCAGTTTCCCACTTTTTTTACTTTTCATAATTTTGGTTACGGTCTTTTAATGTACTGTATGTATTTTACAGGGTGGCATGGTGGTGCAATAATTAGCATTGCTGCCAAAGCTGGGGCCCTGGGTTCAATTCCTGGGATGCTGTCTGTGTGGAGTTTCTGCCCGTGTTCGTGTGGGTTTCCTTTGGGTTCCCCTGTTTCCTCTCACAGTTTGAAGACATGCTGGTAGATGAATTGGCCCCGTGTAAGTGTGTCTGGCCTGCGATGGACTGACATCCTGTCAAGGCTGTATCCTGCCTTGTGCCCACTGCTTGCCAGGTTAGGCTGCAGCTCTCCTGCGACCCTGTGTTGGATAAGATGAATAGAACATGGACAGATCTATGTATTACATCTTTCGTGCGTGTTAAAGAGGTTTTATCTCATTGCATTGAACCGGATGAAAAAGTTAAAAACTGTCACTCTGTTTACGTTAGAAATCTGTAATTCTGCAAAAACCCATCCTGCAATGAAGCAAGGAGGTGGGGTTCACACATAACAGAACACAAGGAAGTTACCGCTTGGTTTCTCACATGGAAAATTGGATTCATGGCAGACTATGAGCCCCATTAATCACAAAGCTAATGGAAAATGGAATAAAAGTGCACACACTCAATTACTGCACCCTGTGACGTACACTGCAGTAAGCACAGCATTTAAAATCAAAGCAGGCAAAGGAGCTGCAAGTAGTCTATGAATCGAAAATATTGTGGATAGCAAGCACTTTAAATTGAAAACTATGTCAAAGGCACATGAATACACTAAAATTCAAGTCATCTGACCAATTCAGGCTGAACTGTTTGCCGGATTGGGTAATTCATTTTTCATTTCCATCGGTTTCAGAATGTCCCAGATCCAAAATGGATTTTTCATTCTCCAATAAGACACTTTAAACTGGCAGGAGCTAGAAAAAATCAGGAAAGTTAACAAAAGTAATGACTGTTCTTTACTCTCTACTAAAGAGCAAACAATAAAGAAGAGGGATTTTAACAGCAACAAATTTATGACATTACTGGTACCAGATGAGCAGTTGTTTTAATCTAGATGTAGAAAAATACAGAAATACTGATACAGCTTTCCAGTAATTCAATAACAATAGCAGTTAAAGGCTAAAAGTGTTATTGTACGGCCTAATTAT